TGTTGGGGTTTAGGGTTTAGGGTTTTGGGTTTAGGGGTTTACGGTTTAGGGGTTTGGGGTATAGGGGTTTAGGGTTCAGGGGTTTAGGGTTTAAGGTTTAGGGGTTTGGGGTTTAGGGTCAAGGTTCAAAAGGGGAAAAGGAGGGACCCTTAGTGGGGACCCCTGCCCTATAATGGGCTATATACTGGGAAATATAATAGTTATATTAAGGGTATATACCTAGGGGTCCTTATTAAGGGTCCCTCCTTTTACCCTTGGATCATAGAAACAACTGTTTTTCCAAGGTCCCTTTTACAGGGTTGCTCGTAAACAGGGTCTGAAACCCTGAACCCTAAGCCTTAATATTCAGAATGAGGGTTTCTGCAATTCGGCTTAGGGGCCTCAGTAATCAGACGAGGGTGTGCGAGAGGTTTAAACTTCAGGGTTCCGTAGGGTTAGGAGCCGCATAGTAGCAGTGGATTACATGCGGAAGTAATATCCTTAATGATTGGAGTAGGGTGCTGGGGGGTGGAAATTATTTGCTCTCGTTCATTCAAGAGGTTGTTTCAGGGGTTGCAAAGCTCCAAAGCGATCGCATTCCAACGACCTTTCCTGTAGTTCAGGATTTCAGGGTAGGTTTTCGCTATAGGCTGTAGAGCTCGACGCTTTTGACAACTCTGGTGTGGATGATTTCATCGAAAATTCCAAGGAGGCTTTGCATGGATGACGGGCTGTTTGCTGTTCTTTGTTGGGATGTTGGTCAGTAAACCCTAAACCCTAACCTAAAACCCTAAACCCTTCAACCCTAAACCCCTCAACCCTCAAACCGTGGCTCAGAGCGTAAAGTCCTGGCGCCATGAGAATGTGGTCGTCAAGTCTTCGAAGAAATACTTCAAGAAATGGCCAAGGATCGGAATGTCCTTGTCTTCAGGGTCTTATCAGAAGCCTGACTACTGACTCGTGTTATCCCTCAGGTTTCCTTATCATAGATATGGCATTCTATGGGTAGTTCTTTGGGCCTCTGCATAGGTACCAAAAATAGTGCGGCACCGCTATAAGAAGGAACCTAAACATGGACCCTATGTCTGAGAACTGCTCATATGCTCCGAAACGCTATTCCAAATTCGGGTGCTATGCTCAGAGTCTCAAAGTTGCCAAACAGAGGAAAGGAGCCATAATAAGAATGACATTTAAATATTCATGAAAGTATTGGTATTTTTTAAAACCACAGTATTAACAAGAAGAAGTTCGCCAATTATTCCAAGAGGTTTTTGGGGCTTGTAACAGTATAGAGACTACAATGGGATGATATTTGTACCTCAAAACGGAATCCACAATGCATAGGATAAATCTGAAGTCCTAAATACTCCCCTGTGAGGACAGCATAATTTCATCCAAATACCAAATGTTAGCCGTTCAAAACCAGGGCGGTTTCTTGCAATGAATGCGGCCCTCATCCCTGAACCCCACAAAGCCAACAACATCTTAAAACCTGCCCGAAACCCTTGAAGCACTTGAAAACACGAGACAACTGGTCGGGTCCTACAAGGCCCCAGCCGAAAACGCGAAGCCGCACCCCCAAGTATTATTAACTCTACCTTAACCCTGAATAACCTACATTTTTGGAGCTCCTAATTATGATTTCCTTATAGAAGTCCTTAAAGAGTTAGGTTATTCGAGGTTAAGGTAAGCCTTAAACTGTAAAACGCCAAACCACCGAGCCTTGCGGGCTGTAGCGGCCATTGCAACGCCTTGTAGCAACCCTTGTAGAACACTTATAGACTCTCTCAAGACCCCGGAAGACTCTAACATGGCACCGTATAAAATCCCTAAACACCCTAAACGGCCCTAAACACCCTTTAACACCAAACCAAACTGGCCTGAAGAGCTACCAAGTCGCAGCCACAGCAGACATCAGCTTGAGCGGTGCGATTGACCAGGGGGCCTCCCCTGGCTCGTCCTCGTCTGCCAAGATCTGAGCAGCAGGGGCGCGGTGTTCGGGTGTAGGGTTTATGGGGTCTTAAGGGTTTCGCTGCAGGTGTCTACAGGCTTGTAGGTTTCGAGTAGGCTTTATAGAATTTCTTTAGGGTTTTGACTATGGGACCTGAATAATCAGAAAAGGGCCCCGGGCATCACGAAAATATTAATCGTTTTCGCCCCTTTGTTAGATTGGCGGGTTTAGTAGCTCGGAGGGTTCGTTCATCCGCCTCTAGAGTCTGGAGCTTCATGCAGTTCAGTGAAGTTTCACAGCGTTCCTTTTGTTTCGAGGCCCCTAAGGCCCTAGGGGTTGGAGCGTCAGGGATTTCAAAAGCCCTTAACCTCGGTTTTAGTCACCGCCGTCTCTTCTGGTGATTTGCAACCCACGCAAACTGTGAGGTCATGAGACCTTTTAACGGCTCATGGTGCTTAGTAACGAGGGTTGTAAATGAGGTAACTGTACTTTCAAGTATTTCTAGCAGTCTAGCCCCAATGAAAGTACTTATAGCCTTGCTTACTAAGTCCCATGGTCCTCCAAATACTCGTATAGCACCGCTATAGAAACCAATCGAATCCCTTATACATCCGTTTAAAGAGCCCTCTAAGCTGCTCAGTCCCATGATACTGTAAGGAGAAACTCTGCAACAAGACTCGACGAGTGGACTCGCCAAGCTCCCCTTAAATTCAATGCTAACCCGAATCTTGCAACATTCCCTAATTCGGGAGTAATCCTGAAATTTTAACAGGAACCCTAAAATGATTCGAGGCACATTCTTCAATTGGGGAAGAGATTTGGGAAGATCTGCGAATGCATGGAAGCCACATAAGACTTTAGGAATTTCCTTCGGCAAGAGACCGAAGACCACTTTACCAGCCGATTCCCGTGTTATTCCTCCGGGTTCCATATCATCACTATAGTCCGCAGTCTTTCATGCTCCGAAATCTAGCCTGAATATTCACATAACTGCCCAGGCACCGAATGCCAAATCTCATTGATTTTGGCTTCGGCGGATCCAACCGGCGCAGACTCGGTTCCTGCATCGGTTTAGGGTTTAGGACTCAATCGCCACCACAATGGCAGTAACAATCGATGCCAACATTACGCCACCGTCTGCTTCGTCACAATTCTGCTCCCCCTCATCGCCGTCATATCCAACCACTTTACCAGACTTTATCGCCGTCATCATCACCAGCACGATCACCATCATCCTCATCGCCTCAACACCGTCAGCAGCAGCAGCACCACCTTCACCAGCGTCGTTGACATCATCGTCGTCATCACCATTTCAATCTCCGTCGCGACTAGTATTATCTATTCGACAGCTGACCACCATCATCATTATCATCCTCGCTACCATTGCCGCCAACCACAGCAGTCAGCATTGATACCACCATGCAAATGGCACAACTGCCAGCCCCACCGCCACCAGCACCGCACATACCACCAGCACCAGCACCAGCACCGGCACCGGCACCAGCACCAGCACCGCACATACCATCACCACCACCACCACCACCACCACCACCACCACCACCACCACCACCACCACCACCACCACCACCACCACCACCACCACCACCACCACCACCACCAGTAGCAACCCACCTGCACCAGCACCAGCATCATCATGAGCTCCAGCTACAGCACCCATGCCAGCATCAGCTTCACCAGCACATTCAACCGCTGCATTAGCACATGCGTCGTTCTCATCAGCAGCAGCACCGGCATGGCTGCCACCATCAACATCACCATCATTGGCAGCAGCATGACCGCAATCAATACACCCCAACATCAGAACGATGAGTAGGACCCTCACCCTCACCCTGATGATGGTCCTGATGATCATGATGATGGTCGTCATGGTCCACACAATCAGAAGCTTCAGCTTTGTCATCAGCACCTTCATCAACAACAACATGATCATCATTGTCGCAATCAGCACCGTGACTCCCGTCATATCGCACGTCTTACTATTAGTCATTCGTCTTCGTATTATTGCTTTTCTTGCTTCATGCATGTCGCCCCCTTCATAATCATCGCATATCACCGCCAGCGGTATCATCATCCTAATCCTGGTAACAGAAAACGGAAAGCCCCATGTGCCAGCTTCCAAAGGTTAGGGGTACCTCATTTCGCGGGATCGTACTATTTAGTTCACTGTATTAGGGTCTCCTATTTTCCGGAAACTCCCATGTGAGTACCCACTGTTTCGACTGCGAGAAGGACAAACAGCAAGTTGATTGAGGCCCGAACCTGTCAATGCGTGATGTTCGAGCGTATGTGAGAGCCAACATGTCAACAATGCATGGAGGTCAACAACGACGCCACAAAACTCCGAGTCTATCACGGCTCTGTCTCAGCTTTTGTCTTCTCTCTCTCTGTCCCTCCCTCCCTCCCTCCTTCCCTCTCTCTCTTTCTCTCTCTCTCTCTCTCTCTCTCTCTCTTCCTCTTCCTCTTTCTCTTCTGTTCTGTGTGTACGTCAGGCGACTAATGTCCTGAAGATAGGACCGCGTTGGCCATCTGTGGAGTGGAGCGCACCCCAGAGGCCACTGCCACCATCGACGCGATTAGCATCAAGACCGCCATGGTCGGAAAGTGTTTAGCAAAGAAACCAAGGATGCGAAATGTATGGCTTGAGCCGATGTCAACCACAAGACACGGTAAGCCGCGATACCTTGAATTGAAGATGCAGGGACAATGCCTGCTTTTGGGGCTAGCGACCCTTCAATCGGAAAATGCAGACGCAAAAAACCATCAGAAGGTATCCCATTGAAATCCTAAACCCTCAACCCTAAACCCTAAAGCTTCAACCCTGAACCCTGGAACCTAGTTCAGAGGTCTCAAAAGGTGGGATGAAGATAGGTGGGGTAATCCCAAAATAAGAGGCCTTATATATGGGATCCTTAATCCTACCTACCGAGGCCTCAGACTACGGTTGATGATATAAATCCTGCAGTTCCCATAATAAGGAATGCACCACAATTCCCAAAGGCCAGGGTCATTCAGGTAATGCAGGATGATCTAAAACCTGCGGCCACGTGGCGCGCCAAGGCTCTTGGATAAGCTCCGGCTCTCCTCAGCAAGGTGATTTAGTCTCCCAAAGGCTCCATGTCCCTATATAGTAGATTAGTAGGGTTCCTTCAAGGGGTTCCGTTAAGGAGTTCTATAAGGGTTCTATAGGGCTTAGGGTATTAAGGGTCCATGATACCTTTATAGCAGATACTTAAGCCTTAAAGGGGTTCCTATCTAGCTACTTCAAAGCCTAAGTATATACTCTAGGGGTACATGGAGCCTTCGGGTCTCTTTGGTTCTTTGCCAAATGGGGGTTTCCGAGAACAGGGGACCCTAATATAGTACCCTAATAAGTACATGATCCTTATCATAAGGACCCCCAATAAGGAGACCCCCAATTTGCGGAAACTCCCAAATGGGTAAAATAGCAATGCTTACAAAACACTGGTATCACTCATAGAAAAGTCAGTAGCAACAGTTGTAGCAATAGTCATAGTAACGGTAGTATGTACCACGAGCAGTAGTAGTAGCGGCAGTAGTAGCAGTAGTAGCAGCAGCAGGAGTAGTAATGGTAGTAGTGGTTGTACTAGTAAGAGTACGAGGAATAGCAATGGTGATTGACAAATTTAGAGTAGTAGAAACAGGAATGGAACCACACATACAAAGTAATATAGAAATAGTAGTAGAACCAAAACAATAGCACTAACAATACTAATGGTAATGGTAGTGGTAATGGTGACCGTGACAGTAACAGTAATCGCAATGCTAATAGAAACAGGATAGTAGTAGTAGTAGTAGTAGTAGTAGTAGTAGTAGTAGTAGTAGTAGTAGTAGCAAATAATAACAGTGATAGCGATGCTGATGGTAACGGCAATGGTAATGGTATTCGTGATAGCAGTAGTTATAGTAACAGGAGGAATAGTAGTAGTAGCAGTAGTAGCAGTAGTAGTAGTAGTAGTAGTAGTAGTAGTCGCGAATACTAAACAGTGATAGCGATGCTGATGGTAACGGCAATGGTAATGGTACTCGTGATAGCAGTAGTTATAGTAACAGGAATAGTAGTAGTAGTAGTAGTAGTAGCAGTAGTAGCAGCAGCAGCAGTAGTAGTAGTGATAGTAGTAGTAGTAGTAGTAGTAGTAGTAGTAGTAGTAGTAGTTGTAGTTGTCGTTGTAGTTGTAGTTGCAGGATATAGTAGTGGTGGTGGTACTAGTAGCAGCAGCGCCAGTAGTAGTAGTAGCAGTAGTAGTAGTAGCAGTAGTAGTAGTAGTAGTAGTAGTAGTAGTAGTAGTAGTCGCGAATAATAACAGTGATAGCGATGCTGATGGTAGCGGCAATGGTAATGGTACTCGTGATAGCAGTAGTTATAGTAACAGGAATAGTAGTAGTAGTAGTAGTAGTAGTAGTAGTAGCAGTAGTAGCAGCAGCAGCAGTAGTAGTAGTGATAGTAGTAGTAGTAGTAGTAGTTGTAGTTGTCGTTGTAGTTGTAGTTGCAGGATATAGTAGTGGTGGTGGTACTAGTAGCAGCAGCGCCAGTAGTAGTAGTAGCAGTAGTAGTAGTAGCATTAGTAGTAGTAGTAGTAGTGGTAGTAGTAGTAGTAGTAGTAGTAGTAGTAGTAGTAGTAGTAGTAGTAGTAGTAGTAGTTTAGTAGTAGTAGTAGTAGTAGTAGTAGTAGTAGTAGTAGTAGTACCCTGGGCATCGGTTATTGATTCTAATCAATAAGAAGTAGATATTTTACATTGATATTGATTTGGTTGTCTTTTATTGATTAAATCAATAGGGGGCATATTGATCGACATATTGATCTCCATATTGATTCGAAGCGCTAGTTTCCATTGATCTGAATATTGATAAAAATATTGATTTGAATATTGATAAAAATATTGATTTGAATATTGATTTGAATATTGATTTCGATGTTTAATATACATGTCTTGGTTTTGTTTAAATAACATGGAGCATTCATGCGAGTTGCCATGCCCCGTCATTTGGGGCTCGCAGCATTGATCGACCCCTGCGAGATACCGGGTTTGGCTTCTAGGTTTAAGGGTTTAGGATCGGTTGTTTAGGGCTAGGCCCGGGCCCATCACGATTCATAAATTGGGTTATATATGCATGCTTTCAAGATCGTAGGTATAGGTTTGAATCGCCATGGCCTGCTTTTGAGCAGATCTACTTGACAAGTTTTGGGTTTGAGGCACCTTGACAAAAGGCGGCCTCGAATCGTACGTTTTTGTTAGTTTCCTGCCCGGGTCAAGTTTGGAGGACGCCTTGCCAAAAGGCCTAGCCATGGGAGGCAGAGGCGGACACCGACACACAGCCAAGCCACAGATCGATGCCTCGCGAATGTATAATGTATTGGAGACTCACATACATACCATCAGAAACTTTGGCCCTTACGAAACGTTAAGCAAGACCCAAGCCTGCCACCCGGCGGGCCTCATGCACGTTCTCGAGTTGGTGGAGTCTCTGATTTCCCTCGAGCCAACCGGGGAAATCCACGACCGATCTTTCCGAACTGCCTTGTTCGACCTGCTGCTGCGAGATCCAAGTCTCAACACCACTGTGTATAACGGGAAGGTTTGGATAGGACTCAAGGTGGCGAGATTTTCAGTCATTTTGTACCACTTTCGCCGCTTAAAGCAAACCCCTTCCGACCTCCGAGCTTGTGCGGGGAAACTCAAAAGTGCCCAGTTCGTTCGGCTGTGCGATGTTGTTGCGAAGATGGTGAAGAAGGAGGGCCAGGCAGGGGAAGCCAAAGAAGAGCCTGAAGAGGGAGGGGCTAAGAAACGGAAGCTGGCAAAGTTTCCGAGCGATCCTGTGTCGCTGGATTCCGACGGCTTCCCGAATTTCAGTGGCTTGGACGCATCCTTGTCGAAAGGGTCGCCATCCAAAGCGGTCGCCTTGGCAAAAGGTACGGCAAGCTCGCCATCCAAAGCACTCGCCTTGCCCAAAGGTGATAGTGATAGTGAGCAGGGCGACGATGCAGCAGCTCTTGCCCCAGCCTCGTCCTTCGTGAGAAGAAGAAGGGGCTGCAAGATCTTAGCCTCGGAGGCCAAGTCGTCGAAGACCCCAGCAGAGCTGCAGAAAGACATGGGGTTTCATGTGGAAGAGGAGACAAAGAAAAGTAAGAAAAAAAAGAAAAAAGAAAGGAGCTTGGCAAAAGCCCTTCCGCCAAAGCGAAAGCGCCGAAACCTTCAAAGAAGGGGCCTGCTGCAAGCCCCTCTGGCAAGGCCAAGGCCAAGGCCATGCCGAAGAAGAAGGGGCTTGCCAAAAGCCCCCCTGGCAAGGCGAAGGCAATGCCCAAGACAAAAACCCGACGACCTGGTGCCCCTCGCAAGTGGTATCGCCTTGGCATTACTCGTGCCACCAATCCGGAAAGGGCTTACATCCTCGGCACTTTGGACCCATCTCCGAAGGCCAAGAGGAGACTCATCATCGAAGTTAGCAGGCACCGGTCCGAGCTCTACCAGGAGCACATCGAGACACTGCTCAAGATGATCACTGAAAGAGGCCTTACCAAGGAGCAGGCCTGGGAGGAACGAGAAAAGCTTTGCAATGCCTAGCTGTAGCACCCAAGGCTTTTTGGGCACCTTGATAAAAGGCTGGCTTTTGAACACCTTGCAGAAAGGTTTCCTTCACCTTGAGAAAAGGTTTGGCAGGGCAACTTTGTTTCACTATAGCTGTATGCTTGGATTGTGGCCCACCCGAAACATCGTTGATCCAGAGGCCATAGTACATGAGCCAAGCAGTTTTTGGATTTTAAGGTTAATACGTATAAGAATATCCGAAAGGATCATATAATTTAAGTTTGTGTTTGGGCAACCGGTTTCAAGCTTCAGCTGCCGGAGGCTAGCTTCGTGCAAAAGCTTGTGCAGCAACCGCAAAGCCGTGAAAAGTTGGGCCGAAGCCTGGAGGCATCTGGACACAGTGTGTTTCTAGATGTTGTGAAAGCAATGTACGTGTGCACAGATCTTATACGAGGGTGAAGAGGTATATGATAACCTTAGGCAGGGACCTCGAAAAAACCCATGCATAGACAACCCTAGCCACACACTGGCAGGTGTATTTATATATACATATATGCACATACATACATATATGTTTTTATGTGTTCGGTATTCGGATAAAGGCGACATGTATTTTACTTCATGTGTTCATATGCTGATAGTTTTCGAAGCTGTTTATATGTATACCTGTATATGTGTATATATATATATAGGTGTATATGCAAGTTTTTGTATATGTCTATGTTCATGTCTATGTCTATGTTTATGTCTGTGTATGTGTATGTGTATGAGTGCTAGATATATATATAGAGTCAAAAAGCTTCCCACAGCTTAGAAACTGTAAGCCCTGAAGCAATCAGACTCCGAGTGCACATAAGATTTGGCAAGAAGTGCAAACAATATAGGATTCCGTGCAGCTTGAGGATTGGCAAAAGGCGAAGCACCTTTAATCCCAAACGAAACCCCAGCTCCAAGCCCGAACCCCAAACCCTAAGAAGAGGAGCCGTCCGGATCGAAGTTGCTGGCTCAAGTTTCAGCAGCAAATGCAGCAGCAAAAACAGCAGCAGCCATAGGCAACTACCACGACAAACATGCAGTACTGCTACTGCTGCCACCACTATACCACTACCGGGTATCCCACTGCCACCAGCATGACCACTACACCTTAGCAGCACTAACAGTAGCACCACCACAGGCCGCACAAGAGCCACGACAACCACAACAGTAGTAGTAGCAGTAGCAGCAGCAGCAGTAGCAGCTTAAACCCTAAACCCCTAAACCCTGACACCCTGAACCCCAAACCCTAAACCCCTAAACCCCGAAAATTCTTACGCCTTATATAAGTGTAACAAACCTTGAACCCTAGACAGAATGTCGTGGCGGGAAGAGCCATGGTGGTCCTGGAGCAGCGGTTGGAACCAGCCCGTGACAAAAACGGACTGGTGGTGGGACTGGTGGGACTGGTCGGACCAAGGTTGGGACTGGTCCCATGCCAGGCAGTGGGTGAAGGAGGAGGAGTGGGACTGGTCCGCAGCCAGGCAGTGGGCCAAGGAGGA